GCAAAGGTAGTCAAGTTGACCGAATTAGAAGTTTACGAATGACGAGCACATACGGCTGAAGCCAAAATCTCTCACTTTCAATGTAAATCTCGATATCAGGGACTCTACGTTGAGTACGGGGTAAACCCACACTCGGGGTCCCAAGTCTCGAGGCCTTGCCTTTTCTGGTTCTTTATGGGTTGGCAAGGTAGCGGCGAGGGTCCCATACATCCGACATCTTAAACTTTGAAATCCAACACCCAAGCCGAAAATCCTAGAACCCAGAGTCGGGCTGCCAAGTCCGGATGGCTCGGCATCAAGTTTTGAAAAAAAGGAGGTGTAGCACCGGAGCTTTTTGCAGCCTCGAATTCCAAGCAGTGAATTCAACGAACCTCCGATAGCCCAAACCTAATGCTGAATACGGGGTAAATCCACTCTCGGGGTCCCAAGTGAAGAGGCCTTGCCGTTTCTGGTTGAGTATGTGATGGCACGGTAGCGGCCTGGGACCCGTACATCATGAATCCTAAACGATACGGAGTAGATATTTTAAGTCCCGAGGTTTCGGCATTCTCTCCGAACTTTTGTCGGGATGGCGGTGCGGCACAGGAGCTTCGAAGAGTCGAACTCCACTGAATTGAACGCAGTTCTGATAGCCTAAACCCTACACTGAATGCGGGGTAAACCCACACTCGGGGTCCCAAGTCCCGAGGCCTTGCCCTTTCTCTTTTTTTTGAGATGGCAAGTAGCTGCAGGGGACCCATTCAAGCCGTTTTGCGCAAAGGCGTTTTATGACTTCATTCGAGTCTTTGCGGTTTTCCTGCACTTCTGATATTTTATATGCAACAGCGACTGCTCAGACATAACAGCACCCTAGCACCAAGCCCAGCACACTCGAAGCCATGTGCGGGCCTCAGCTTTTATATGATTGATGCCGATAGTAAGCAAACAAGCAGTCACCAATTACACTTGGCTGTCAGGGCGCCTGCAAAAGTGCTGCCACTCTTGGGCCTGCGACCCGAATGCTGGTTCGTTGCAGACAGCTTTCGTATATACGTTGAACTCGCCGCTGAAAGGCTTTCTGTTGACAGCGGGGCTGGCCGGCAACGTGCGGGAAGGTGCGAGTCGGTCCAGAAATCAAGGTTTAGATCTGCGAAGCAAAATTTTATATTCCGTAGCAACTGCCACACGGATTATCTTCTAGTTCCTAGCTCTGGGGGCGAGATGCACCGCGCCGATCCAGGCCCCGAGGAAGAAGCGGACTGTAACCTGGACACTTGGCTTTCCTGATTGCTACAGGGCTGGCAGTGGCCGAGCCCACAAGCGCTCCAGGCAGCTGCACAAATGCCTCCCAACCCTGACCGTTGGCAATCGAGTTTGGAATCCGCTTTATCAGACCGTGCAGAAGCAACCGAAGGGAGTGCCGGCGGAGGACGGGTCTGCATCCGATGGAGCCTTGGCTTTCTGCATCTGAACGGTCAGGGGCACCAGCAGCAGCCAACCTTGAGACCGAAGCCGGAGGCGTGCAACCCAGCTGTGCAGAAGCCCGCCCGGCTTCAGCTTCGAAGGCATCGACGTCGAAACACTCCTCGCGCACGCCGATGCACGTCAAAAGGGTTGGCGGGCAGCAGTTCGAGCCGACAAGCGGCGCTGCGCAGGTGGGGAATGCATCCAACCCACAGCGACAAACTCCAACAGAGCGCCCGCCAGGAGAAGCCCCTGGGGAGTGCGTCCTTTGGGAAGACGTCCTGGAAACTCTGGAAGGCAGAGCTACTGTCACGAATGCAGAGTCTTGCTCGTATACTGAAGAAAGCTTAGAAAGCGCTCGCTGCATGAGGCTGTGGACGACCGTGTTGATGCAGAACCTTTTCAAAGGCACGAAAAGGAGTTGACGGACACTGCGTGCGTGACAGCTGCTCTGGACTTCGTGGCCGGCCTCTGAGCAAGTGACAGAAGAGTTGTTGTTAACAGAAGAGTGTGATCGCAGGCAGAGCACTTGCACTGCACCCGTGCTGCGTTAACACGGCACCTCCTTGCCGTGCGCGGCTTCGTCTACCAGCGCTACACAGGTCGAAGAATTCAGGAGATAGGCGACCGGCCGGAGTCGACAGGCAGAAGTGGCCGCTACACTAGCAAGGAGGAGCGGCCGGCGCAAGTGGCGCGCTGAAAAGCCCGTGCTGCAAAGGCGGCGGCCAAGGCCCGCGAGCTAGAATGTTCTTGTGTCGGGAACCTGAAAAGAACTCTCAGTTGAAATCTGCGATTCCCACAACGCCGAGGCGAAAGCCAAAGAGCTGCAACAGCTCATTAGCTGCAGCGCGAGGTCGCCAAGCGGCGCGAGGCCAGCAGGTTGCGAGGCGGCTGTGGTTCGTAACACTGGCCACTGTAAACCAGGACGAAAAGCGCTGGAGAGGGACAGCGAACACCAACCGCGTCAACAAGCGGACGGAGCTGAAAAGAAAGGCGGAAGAAGGAGACGACGAGGCCCTCCTCACCGAAAGGCATGAGATTCAATAAAGATGCAGGGTTACGGAACTGCTGCTATTGCAGGCCAAAAAGAAGCTCCGAGAACTTCGCGATGCCGACATAAACGGCAAAGCGACAAGCGCCTCCGAGACCAAGCAAAGGAAAGCTGTGCTTTTTATTTTTATCAAGCACCCTCGTCAGGAGGCGACGCCGGAGCTGGTGGCCTTGGAAGGGGTGCTGCCTGTGCGCGGCAAAGCCAAGGCGAGGTGACGCCCCAGCAGGCACGACCGGCTTTGGCAAAAGCCGAGGCGAGAGGAACGCGGCTTTCATATTTAGCAATTCAGAAGTCTTTGAACTCAGGCTCTCCCGAGCTCAGCGCTCAACCCGGTAAATCCTAAATCTTAAATCCTAAATCCCAAATCCTAAATCAGAAAAGAATCCTAAATCCTAAACCCTAAATCCTAAAAATCTAAACCCTATAATAAGCCCTGAAATCCTAAACTCCTATATCCTAAACCCTGAATCCTAAGATCCCTAAACCATAAGATCCTAAATCCTAAACCCTAAATCCTGAAATCCTAACACCCAACCCTAAATGCTCAATCCTAAATCCTAAACCCTAAATCCTAAATCCTAAGATTATAAATCCTGAAATCCTAAATTCTGAATCTTGAACCCTGAATCCTAAATCCTAAGCCCTAGCGCTCTCCAGAGGCAATGGTTCACGATTTCGGGTTAATCTTTCGCCACGCTAAAGGTTGTCTGGATACGGCCAGCCCTTAATTGAGTTCGGACATTGTCGTAAGCAAGGGGCCCAATTTCGTTGGCCTGTCCAGGACAGGCGGCGAGGCTTAACCCTCGCCTTTCCGTTTCCTCGTTTCGTATGGGCGCTCGGGCTGTGAGGCCCTCGGCCAAGCGTTCGGGGTCTGTCGCTCGACGTCGGTTTAGGGTTTAGGGTTTAGGATTTAGGGTGTATTCTACACAGTCGGAAGAAGTAGTAGTGGTAGTCCCATATACGCCCGAGAACACGTATATCATAACAAAACCCTAAACCTCGTTCCTGTCAATATGGGGCCCAACCATAAACAACCGAAGCCAACCCCGCTAAAGCCAACGCCAGAACCCCTAATGTAGAAGCCTAAATAATGACCAATTTTGTGGCTTAGGGTCCCTTACTATAACTATACTATAAAAGAGCCGAAATCTTTTTTCTAATTATTAAGACCCCTACGTCACAACGCCCTCAATAATTAGGTGCCTCAGGTAGTTGTAGGGAGACCCCTTAAAGGGGACCCTCCTTAACCTTACTTCTGGTTCTCTTACAAAGGACCTTATTGAGAGCGTCTATATCCCCCAGGCTCCCAGTTCCTGAGTAGTACTATACCCTTTTACCGTTTTTAATTGTATGGTGCACTTGTCCAAACTGAATAACAGGGTAACCTTTATTGTTTAGGGGTCGCTCAGGAACCTAGATGGTTAGATAGGGTTTTTGTTTTTGGGGGACACCGGAACTACAAGGAGGATGCTCTTCGTAATTTTTCAAACTCCCCCGCAGCATCCGAAGCGAGCTCTTCTTGGACACTAGGGTCGGGCTCAGGGTTTAGGGCTTTGGGCTTGGGGTCTACGGCTAGGGCGTGTCACCCAGTCTTCTTTCTCCGTCGCTTCTCAGCCTTCAAACCCAACTTGCTTCCCGATCAACTTCCACGCAGCGACAACGCAATCACTGCGATACAAACCCTCGGGCCTTGATGTGGGACAACCCCTCGAAGGCATGAGGGTAGGCTGAAGCTAAAGACGGCCCTAAACTTAGGCCCTAAACCGCTTAGTGGCAGCTGTTCCATTGCATGTAGCATGGCGATAATCCGAGCTTTGGCATACTTGTCATGATGAAGACTCATGCAAATCAGTCTGATGTTGCCTTGTCACAATACAGCACAATCTCTGCCAAGTACAGGAGTCGGGGAACCAGGCAAGAATCATCCAGTGCAGGTGGAAGCAGCTGTGTCCTGGGTCCGAGTCCCATCTTCTTGTGGGGTTCGGGCTTCGGGATGTCGACAGTGTTGTCGTTTTGGATCAAGGGGTTACACACTGGTACCGTTTAAAGAGGAGACGACCTCAAGACAAAGCTGTGCGCTCATTTTTCGTCAAGTACTTTGCTTACCATACTTCCGGACCTGTAAACCCTAAACCCTAAGCCCTAAACCCTCAAGCCCAAATCCCCATCCATACACCTCAAACCCTCAGCACTAACCCCAACATGGAAGTAATTACCATTTCATCCTAAGCCTTAAACCTGAAGTCCCTAAACCCCTCCGCGCGACAACTTCAATCTTCATGCACTGGGCTCGAACCCCACAGTCCTAGAGGGTCCTTAATATCAATAGAAGAGGGTTTTGGGGCCCACTAGACTGTACTTTATAGTAGGGCCCCCATATGGGTAGTTCCCTACATCAGGGTGCCTTTTTTGGGTCCTCAGTATAGTACGGCACCCCTATAAAATAGGACCCTAAAAAGGGACCCTAATTTAAAGAGCCACCCATATTACACCTTAGCCACTCTAGGCGGAGGAGAACACAAAGGCGTTGAAAAGCGACGGCCGGCTGGTACTCTGTGGTCTTGACCTGAGCTTGTCATAAGGCTCCGGGCTTTAAGGGCTGCTAGATGGGTAGTTCTCTAAATGAGGGTCCCTTTTTGAATCCCCAATACAGTACGGCACCTTTATAAGAAGGACCCTAAAAGGGATCCTACTTTAGAGAACTACCCATATAGGTTCTAGCAGTTTTTTTTTCGAAGGCTTTCTTTCAAGATGGAGGGTGAGGGCTCAGTTTGTTTGATTGTTGGTTTGTTCAGGGTTCACAGGGCTGTATTTGGGCTTACAGGTGTTCCGAAGGCTTTGCAGGCCTTTCTGATTTCTATGGTGTTTTAAGTGTTTAAGGTTTCGGTGTAGGATTTTGGCGTCGTTTGGTTTCGGGCGAGGTCTAGACCGTCCTCTATTTTGGGCTTTGATCCCCGGGCTCCAGGATTAGCGTGTACACAGAGACTGGGCTTCAGGGCTTCACATGTCATTCCGAAAAATTTAGTGTTTAGCGTTTAGGGTTTAGGATTTACGGTCTAGGGTTTAGGGTTTAGAAAAGTTTGAGGTTTAAGAGTTTCGGCGACGAATGGGTTCACAACTTCACGCTTCATCGGCTTCAATGTACTATAGGGGTCGCAAGAGTTAGTAACAGTATCCCCGCCCTTATGCGTGTTATGTTAAGTATTTGTTACAACTGCTGTGCACGAACTACAAGGCCAATGACTTTGATGCAATAGAAGAGATATGTAGTTCTCGCAGTTGTCCCCTTTTAAGCTCCAAAAAAGTAGTGCCATTAGCGGCATCAGCACATTTAAGCAAAGCATCGCTGCGGACAGTAAAACTGTCAGAAGCAGTAGTTGCAGAATTAGCCGAGAAGCCCGAACCCTAAACCCCATGCAGTGGCAACGAAGGCAAGCATAGCCGCAGCTCTGGCACTTGCATGGTCTGATGTCCTGCATGATCCAGGGGCCCCCTGACATGTAGGTATTAACGTTACTAAGAGTTCAGGGTTGAGAAGTTTAGAGTCCAGTGTGTAGCGTTCTAGGGACCAGCGACACCCCGCACCGCCGCCCCCGAGACCCTGATGACTCCCTGTGGCAGGTTACTCTTCCGGTGGCCATGTGGCGGCCCTCTACGGGCTGGAGAACTGTGCAGCTGCAAAAAACGGTACGCTACCCTCAACCCTGGGGGTGGTAAGGTGGGCGATCCGCATCATCACCCATCAACACTGGGTGTACCGTAACTATGTTCTCGCTTATGAGTGTTCTTGTGGTGCTTGTCACCGTGTACATACGCAAGACTATATCTGCCAGTGCTGCTCCCCATGTTGTGTGTACGGTGGCAGCGGATAGAGAGATTTGCTGCCCTAGAGTTCAGCATTCGGACGAAGGGTGCCGCACAGTTTGGATGATGTGGGCGGGCTCAGGCTACGGGGTGTAACCATCCATCGACGACTTCCGGTCAGCAGCGTGTGGAGTGAGTATGAATGAATTAAATGCATGTGTGTGTGTGTGCGTGTGTGTGTGTGTGTTTGTGGTTCTTTTGTGAGGGTGCTGTCTTGTGACGTCTAGTTGCCGTGCTTGCTTTCTGATTTGTTGCGTCGGTGGTCGTTTGTCGACTAGTGGACACGTGGTACTGCAAGTTAGGCTACAGATGTTTCTGTCTCGCCCCCTTCCTCCCTCCCAGTCTCTCTCCCCCTCGCTCTACTTTTTGATCTCATGGGCGCCGACCGATGCGTGTGGACATGCGCATGCATCCATGTACATGGATGTGTATATTTACACTTGCACACACATACATGTATACATATGTCTTCCTGCTTGCCCACACAGGTGTGAGAGCTTCGAACTTCCAACCAACAACCCGGATCCTAAGCCCACAACCCCAAGCTCCGAAAACCCGAATCCCAAACCAAACCCTAAACTCCGAGCCTGCAATCCTAAACTCCTAAACCCCCTGGTGCCAGCTAGTCCTAATACCAGTACACCCGAACCCAAAACCCTAAATTCAAAATTCCGCCTCCTCCACCCTAAACCCCCAATTCCCTAAACCCCTAAACCCCTAAACCCCTAGACCCTAAACCCCTAAACGCCTAAAAACCCAAGAGCCTTGCTTCCAAGACGCCAGGTCCGGGCCGTTTTGAGGCGGTAGTCCTGGTCTCAGGCACCTTCTTTTTGGTAGGGCTTGGGGTTTGGAGTTTAGGGTTGGGGCCCTAAACCCCTAAACCCCTAAACCCCGAAACCCGAACCCTTAACCCCAAATCTCTAAACCCCGAAAACCCCAAACCCCTAAACCCCTAAACCCTAAACCCCTAAACCTCTAAACCCCGAAACCCCCAAACCCCAAACCCCTAAACCCTTAAACTCTAAACCCCTAAACCCCAAACCTCTAAACCCCGAAACCCCAAACCCCTAAACCCCTAAACCTTAACCCCAAACCTCTAAACCCCTGAACCCTTTGGGTTTAGGGGCGTGAGGGCATCTTGAGGGTTGGGGCTGAGATTTAAGGTTTAGCAGCTCACTCGGGGTTTAGGGTTTAGGGGTTTATGGGGTTTAGTAAGGGGGTTTAGGGGTTTAGGGATGTTTAGGGTTTAGGGTTCAGGGTTTAGGGGTTTAGGGTTTAGGGGTTTAGGGTTTAGGGTTTAGGGTACCTAAAGCGAAGCAGGACTGTATCGCTGATGGCCTACCACCCTGGAGACAAACAAGTGCAGACCCCTGAACCCTGATTCCTCAAAGGCTCGTCCTTCCTCCTCAAGGGTTTTAGGGTTTAGGGGGTTTTCGGGACCCTAAACCCGAAACCCTAAACCCTGAAACCCTCATTGTTCCTCGGCTGTGGGAAATTTCATCCCCCTGCCAGGAATCTACGACCTTCGAACAAACTGGGCGGACGCGCGCCGCTTCCTGGCGCCGGTCATGAACCTCATCTTCAAGGCCCGGTTTGGGGTTTAGGGTTTAGGGTTTAGGGTTTAGGGTTGAGGATGTGGTGTTTAGGGTTTAGGTAAGCTTTGACTCCCGGGCCGTCATAAATTGGAAGAGGGTTCCTTGAAGGGTTTCATTCTGAGGGGGTCTATATTACGGGTTGTTGCTATACGGCTGGTTGCAAGGGTACTAGTAAGTTTAGTATAACTTTTTTTTGTTGAAGGGGGGTGCGGTATGCTATAGTCTAGTCTCTAGTCTGATGCATTGAGGAACCCTGAGGACCCACAATCGTACTCATTAAAGGTTAGCTCCTTTGGTGCCTGCGGTGGCTGCCAGAAGTCTAATCATTAAGGCCCCCTATAGGTTTGGGGTTTAGGGCTTAGGGCTGAGGGTTTGGGGTTTAAGGTTCAGGGCTTCGGGTTTAGGCACCCTATATGGTTCTTTTCTCGAAAGCAGCTCTCAACTCTGGCAGTGCGTTGCTTCGGGTTATAAATAAACGACCGAAGAGAAATAAGCTTGTATGTATGTTTGTATCTCAAAACGTGGCTTAAGGGCTTTCCGGGCATAAATCGGGTATCACAGGGGGCTTTGACAATGAACTTTTCCATAGGATTTAGGGTTTCATGGGCCTTGCGTGCTACATCCGAGAGGCTAGTCATTGTTCTAGGTTTAGCAAAACCCGAAGCACTAGACTAGACCCCAGAATATTCCTCGCCTAAACCCCATAACCCCTAAACCACCAAAACCCCGCAGTGCTTAAACGCATAAACCTATATATTTCTTAAATCTAAAAGGGCCCTAGGGCGCCCCTGTGGAGCCCCGCAGGACATCCTCGGGGCCGACACGGAGGCGAAGCGAGCGGCGGCGTCACCGGCGGTCTGGGCCTATCCTTCGATTTGTTCTTGAAAAGGGCCTCCAATCGTTTTAAGAAGAAAGGCTGCGTACTTTTGTGGGTTTTACCAGAGAGGGTTTACGATTCAGGGTTTTAGGGATTTAGGGCCTCAGATTTTGCGATTTGTGTGTTTTGTGCTTTATAGGGGTTTGGAATGGTTTAGGATGGTTTAACATGACTGACAGATGCACGGAATAAGTTTCATCACCAGCAGCGTCAGCAAGAAAGACGCAGAGCTCTGCACAACTAGCTCGCAACAATACCCGTTTTAGTATCATCTACCATGCTTCAGACCCCATTGTGGTCATGGGGGCCCCTTACATTGCTATAAATAATTCAAGGCTCCGAGGACGAACCTCTCAGATAGAGCTCGGAGAGTGTCGACTTGTCCTTCGGTTTCAAGGTTTGAGACGCCTGCGATTCTTCAGATTCCCTTTGTAACGCCTTCGTACGAGCGGTTATCTGTGCCCAGGCTGTTGTGCAGTCCTCGCAGCAGAAAGCCTTGGACGGCGACTGCACCTGGTGGATTCTCAACGCTCGGAAGGCCTGGTGGGGGGCGGGGGAGCGGGGGAGCGGGGATGGACTCAACATCAAACCAGAAAGAGCGACTTGCATGTTCTAAGGAACTGCGCCTCCACACCTGCCTCGGTGAAAAAGTGCCACTACAAGGGTACAAACCTCCAGGCCGATCCCGCCACATCAGAAGCTTTACGGCCACCATGCTCGGAATCTTGAGGCCGAAAAACTTAACCATAAAACCCCAAAGCCGTAAACCCTGGAACCCTAAACCTTGGAACCCTAAACCCTGGAACCCCATCCCCTAAAACCCTACACCACAAACGCCAAAGCCCCATTCCCTAAACCCAAACCCTCAAGACTAAACCCGATACCCTAATGGCCAAGCCTTTAAGCTCCAAAGCTGGTGTAGAAGGAGCTCTTGGGGCTCCCCCTCTTGGAAGACATCCTCTTTGCAAGTCGAAGGCTCAGACTGGACCTTCCGAAGATAGCGCAGCGGTTTTTTGCTTGTCCTTAAACCCTAAACCCTAAACCCTAAACGGTTTGGGGTTTCGAGCCTGAGTTTAGGCTGAGTGAGTTGTATTCAGAAAACACATAATTGATGGATGGTTAAATCGAAGCCTGCTCTGCATGTGTATATGAATGTGAATATATATATATACACACATATAAATATATACATGTACAGACATATATATATATATATAGAGTTAAGTCTATATATATATATGTATGTATATATATATATAAACATATATATATATATATTCATTTGTGTAGCTAGATTTGTAGCTGCATAAATATCCATACCTGTATCTACTTCCATCTATGGCTGCTTCAGTTTCCTAAATGCATCGAGATCCATTCTTACATCTTCCTCCTGAGCAGGCGGCGTTACGTTTTTATTGAGTCTCCATTCCTTTTTTTTATAACTATACCCATGGCCACACCTATACTTGCTTCAGTATTAAGATCCGTGCTTGTGCCGTCGATCTGCATCTACGTCAGTACTTGAATTCATATCTACATGTTGATACTGGTCTATTTGTATACATCTATAAATATATGCATGCACATATGTACACATACATCGGTACCACAAGCTCTCAACACAAATGTGCACACCTTTTCTGATCTGATCTCTATGCCAGCAGATGTATACCTATCTACATAACCCCTGCCTGCCTACATACCTTCCTACCTACCTAACCTACCTAACCTA